TTATTTTTTGGTTCATCAATAAAGACACTCATCAACACAAACTCAAATTTAGGAGGGGATGAGAAATTCCATTCTACCAATTTTGAAAATATTTTTCAAACTTACATAGAAATAAATATGATATATATAGTTCACACCTAGATTGGTCAAGTTAGTTTTAAGTAATGGACTCATGCATTACAAGAGGGTGATTTCCAATTTTGGTGTCAATCCATGTAAGAATACCATTCGTGGAATATCTATAAATAAATATATTAACACTCTCTAAACCTTGACTAGTTATGCATTCTCAACTCATCTAAAAAAAATATTATCCAAAAAAGTAGGGATGCAATGAAAACCGAACTTGTGGGTATCCATCCGAATTTAATGGGAGAAATTCATTGTGATTATGTTTGGATTTTATCCGGGTTTAATTTTCGGATTCAGGTTTGGTGGAGCTAAGACTCTAACCTGAACCAGCCCCGAAGTAATGTAATTCAATTTGCAATTGAAATGCCTATCATGTATTCATTTTCTTAATTTCTAATTTGACTTTAGATACTATTGGCTCTTCAAACATAAAAGAAATGAAATAAAACAAGAGAAAATAAAAATGATAGAGAAAAATGAAATGAAATGATATCATAACTCTCCTTGAGTTCATTCATTATTTTTGGATTTTCTGTCGGGTTTCGGGTAACCCGAACCCGACAAGTTCGAGGATGATACTTTTCTTTTCAACCTCGCTGAATTCGGGTTCGAGTTTAAATTTGTGTATCTACAAACCCGACTCCAATCTGATCCATTGTCATTCCTAAAAAAAAAAGTTCATTTCTGTATACTCCACTTTTTTTTAAATAAATGTCTTTCAAGGAAAAATATCGTTATTAGAAAATAAGTGAATGTTTTTATAAATGTACTATCACATAGTTATAATAACAAAGATAAGGAGGGGAAATAATTTTAATACAAATAAACGTATTAGTTATATTTCTTAATCCATGTGTCTCAATTTTAAGAAACACTTATATAAGAATGGAGGAAATATTCAATAGGGAAAATAGATGCATGTGAGTTAGGGCATTTTAATCTATGCGAATTAATTAGAGGTAACTTGTAAATACGAACCAAGACAATTTTAAATTTAAAAAAATTAAATTAAATTTTCGAATATTGAGTTATTTTGTAAGTATTTCTGTCATGTACATCTCTTAAAAGACTAGAGACAAAAAATAACATCATCAGAAGTATTCCAGAAAATAGAAGAAAAGAAAAAGAAAAAGAAATAGGCCTAATGCATTTATTTATGGGTCTTTCTAAGTTGCAATGCCCTTGATATAAATGGAGAATAATTAAAATATATAGTTATAAAGGGCTAAGATTGGCATGCATAAATTAATGGGAAAGAACAATTATTATAACATTTGATATTGCTTTTAAACTTTTATATCATTATATGTATATATCATATTAAGAACAAGTAAAACACATAATACTATAAAAAATTAAATAATGAATAACATTAGGGACTAATAATTTCCATTAAGAGAAGTGAAATATTGATAACTTGATTTTTTATTAAAATAAATAAGGGTTAATATCTTATAAATATAATATTTTATGAATTAATTTCTAAGTTAAAGATACTTTATATATCATCACTATTATTGGTAATATATTATTAAAATTTATATTTATATGAATGTGACGGTGATATTAGTCATTTGTCAGAGCGGAAAAGATAAGGTGATAGTGACCCAAAAGTTATAACCGCACATTTATATAAAAAATTAAATATTTAAAATATAAAAAAACATAGTAAATTTTTAAAAGAGATCTAGAAAAAATTAAAAGTATGGGTACTTATTTTCAAGTCCTGACATTTATGCTGTACTCCTCTTCTTTACAAAAAAAAAAAATTTGGCAACAAAAAACTTGATTGAAAAAATTCATTAATAAGAGTATAATTTTAATCAAATTTGCATGCACTTCAAGAAGCAAATGATATTTTTCCTGTGAAGTCATGAGCAACACATGACAAAAGGTTAACAATGATTACATGATTAACATCTATTTATATCTAAATTATACATGAGAAAATGTCAATACAACAAATATATTTTAGGATAAATGAATGAGAATAAAAGATTTCATAGTTGCACAAATATATTTTAGAATTGTTTTAAATCATTCTCTTTCTCAACTTGCAACCAATAAAATTTTGGTTAAGTGGTGTAAGATGTAACAAAAAAAAATTATTGGTTAAACAAAAAAACTCCACTAACAAACAAAATGGTGAGTGAAATGTAAATACGATAGAGGTTAACAAGAGGGCTAAATTGAAATTAGAAAATTATATGATTCAATTATATGATTTTTTGATGGAAATTAGAAGATAGTGAAGGCAAAATAGGAAAACATTAATTATACCATGATAAGGTAATTATTTTAGATTTTGGCTTTATTAATAGTATATATATATATAAGGGGATCCACTTACTCCAAAAATAAGTTTAAAACACTTACTTCACATCATAACCATCAATTCTTGGGAAATCCAATTGTTTGAATTAGTGAGTAGATCTAAATCATTAGATTTCATAGAATTGATGGTTAAGATGTGAAATAAGTTTAAAAAACTTTCCATTTTTATTTTTTTTATTCAGATCAAACTTATTATCTTCACTGTTTTTTCTTCTTCAATGGTGGTTCCAAACATACTATTTTCAATAAATTATTTACCCGAAATAAAAGTAATACAAATATATAATAATTGATTGGTTATTGATCATATAAATTTTTTAACATTTATAATATATGAATATTAAACTCCTAATAATTTATGTAAAATAGAAAGATTACATGAATTACACTTTTTCCTGAGCTTTTTATAAATAAAAATCAAGATACAAATCTTGTATATTCATTATTGTATATTATTATATTTGTCAGGAACATGAAACAATCACTTGATTAAATATTTTACTAATTTATTTTTTAATTAATTCTCTAACAAGGTAAATATTTCTAATTGATAACAAAAATAATAATAAAATACTTGTGAACACCCAATTTTGTCAGGGCAATATTAATAAAAATATAATATATAAAAAAATAAAACAAACACCAAAGTATAAGTTTGTGGGGTGTGCAAGTGCACTGATAGCATTTTTATTACAAAAATCACAACCAATAGTTAGTGACTAGCTCACTGAATTTCTTACAAACGTTACAACAGTGTTACACAACATGAAATTAGAGCCTATTCATGTTCATATGGGCCACGTCTACTTTGTGTCTCAATCTTAACAAACCGAAATGCTTTAGGAATTCACTTGGTTGTATATGGTTACGAGAGAATCCATGTAGCTTTTAATTGCATGAAGTGCATCTAGCAGCACACTAATGTGATCATGGACTTCATGTAATTTTCATACATTTGGCCATGTGAAGTTCCTTGTCTGGGAAGAAGCATGTTGTATCAGGCATTAATGAATTACAAAGAAATAAATATGATATTTTGTTCCATGGGTGTAGGATGATTTGACCACCACACTAGTACAGCAGTGCCGTCGGTCCCAAACCTCTGTCCTGCGAGTTATTGAAAGTGCTGGGCAAACTGATTACTGACAAGCTTTTAGGTTTAAAAAACATTCCAATGTATAGTTAAAATCATTTAATTGGTGCATGCTGCATATATGAGCAATGTTATTTAGTACAGGGAATTAAGTAATTGTTAACCATTAAGGCAAAGTATTTGTAACAAACAGTTGATTAAATTTGAACCAAATGATTTTTGCTCGGCATTCTGCAAAACCAAACAGTGAAATGTAAAATCTCGTTATTAAACTTCTGAATGATGCCATTAATGGTTCAAAGACCCAAACATTCATACAGGTATAGCATCATAAATCTTACAAGGTGATTTTAACATCATAATTTACATAAGCTTTGTAAATTATATATAATAGAGCACAAAACCATATGCCAAAACTATGGTCAGAGTCTGGTGAACAAAAGGTAAATTTTAAAGACTTGTCAATGTAAGATGCGGAGTATTTTAGACAAAAAATGAAGTTCTGCCTACAAACAACCAACACATTTATTACCTCTAGTAAAAAAATCAAATGGGAGCATCCAAACCAGCACACTAAAAAAGGCAATCAACACAATTAAATAAAGGCAAAGGGAAAGGAGGTAAATTAGTCGGGGGTTGCACAAATTTCAGGGATACTAACCAGCTCTACAATCAACAATGATCAGCATTTGCAGTTACAAAAGCAAACAAAGGCAGAACAATGAGGCAGTAATGTACAAATAAGTGGGTAACAGTCAGAAATTAATGGCATAGTAATCAGCAGCCCTCTTTTCAGTTATACATTCAGCATGAATTACAATCATGGATAGCCTTAAATAAAGGAGAGTAACAAGCAGTAACTAGCAGAGTCAGCAGAAGAGTCATAATCCTCTATAAAAGAGCATCATAATCATATACTGGAGGGAGTTTTTTTTTAGCAATCAGAAGGCATCCAATTTTCTATACACATATCCTCTAAAGTTACGATCTACCCTTATAGCAAATCACCCACACCAAAATACAATCTACACTACACTAACCCACATCAAGCATCGTCAAGTAGGATCAACGCAAAAGCAAGAAGGGATTCTAACGTACAAGGTAGAAAGTAAAGGGCATACTCAGGTAAGATATGCGACATATTCAGTGAACATCAATGAAAACGTATCCCAAAAGCAAAATAATCATGCATATCCTTTCATGTTAATTACCAGTAATCGATGTTGGGTATATACTTCAACGGGTTTCATAGGAAAATATATATTGTTATGCGATTTAAAATAGAAACAACCCATAAATTGAGATGACCCGGATTGTATGTTTGTATTCTGATTTAGCATTCATAAAATAGTCATGAGCATTATTGGGGGAATCATAAATCCTTTAAGTGAAAAAGAAACGAAAAATGGAAGAAATGGATTCACCTAGTTTCAAGGATCCTCGCCGTTGCCGCTGTTACCGTTGACGGAGAAGGTAACCGGAGAAGGAGACCGGAGAACCAAATCGCCTGCGTCTTCCCTCCGCGATGAACCGCCTTCGTCTTCTCACCGCGACGAATCGTCCTCGTTTTCTCACCGCGATGAATCGCCTACGAGTTCACCAACCTCCACGCTTGACTACCGCCTCCGCCACTGTCGGAAAGAAACCCGAGAGAACCCGCGATTCTCTCCTCCTTCATCTTCTCACCTCCTCTCTCAAATTATCCTAACCCCAAATGAAAGCCAAATTCGACCCCTCCCCATCTCAACTTGGTTTTCCCCCAATATGGGCCTTCGGCCCACATTTATCTATTTTATTTTTATATTCACTTTTGCTTTGTTTTTCTTGTTCTTTTTGTCTTAAGAGTCATTTTTTGTTTTCGTTGTTTTTATGTCATTTAACTTATTATAGTAATAATGATACAAGGTTGGAATAAGAGTCATTCGAATATATTTTTTTTAGAAAGTTATTTCATTAAATATATTCAAAAGTTTTTAAATGGAGTTTTATAGTAAGGTTATGGCCCGTGTTGTCTTTAAATTCTCTGAAAATGGGAAGGAGGTCTACGACCAATGCCGTCTCTAAGCTGTGAATTCCATATCAAATGTTTTAAAAAAAATTATCTTATTTATTCAAATGATTTTAAATGGAGTTTTATAGCAAAGTTATGGCCCGTGTTGTCTCTAAATTCTCTGAAAATGAGAAGGAGGTCTACGACCAGTGTCGTCTCTAAACTATTAATTCCATATCAAATATTTTAAGGAATTCATATTATTTATTTAAATGATTTTAAATGGAATTTTTATAGTAAGGTCATGGCTTGTGTTGTCTCTAAATTCTCTGAAAATGGGAAGGAGGTCTACGACCAGTGCTGTTTCTAAACTATTAATTCCATATCAAATATTTTAAAGAAATTTATATTATTTATTTAAATGATTTTCAATGGAATTTGTATAGTAAGGTTAGGGCCCGTGTTGTCTCTAAATTCTCTGAAAATGGGAAGAAGGTCTACGACCAGTGCCGTCTCTAAACTATTAATTCCATATGTTAAAATATCCTTAGCAAACAAGTTTCAATTTTATTGATTAACCATTTCGACGTATCTTAAATCAACTCAAACCAATTTACCAATTTTCGAACCAGAACTACGTAGCCTTGAGTTCCCTATTGCACCTAGGGATACGTAGGAGCAAGTTGAATTCTTGTCAGACACAACAATAAAAAATAAAACATTTTGGTTTTTTATTACTGAATTTTAATAAATAATTTTAAGGGTATAAAAGTCCATGTTATTAGCGATGGTACCGTTTTAATACGGGCAGACGAGGTGCTAATACCTTCCCCGATCCGTAATCGACTCCCGAGCTCAGAATCTCTGATTACCGACCAAATTGTCATAATTGGGCATATTTAGAGTTTTCTACGTTTTAACCCCAAAAACGTAGTGGCGACTCCAAAACAATTGGAAGAGGTAGAAATCGAGTTCACCTCTCCCTAAGTCACAGGGCCGGTCTTCCAACCAAAAATCAGGTCGTGACAATACTGAATATAAAAGATGTCTCTTCAAAAATTAAAATCCTTAATGTCATTGAAAACTATTTTTTCTAGTTTTTATTGTAATTAAACCAATTATTTTCAATGCGTTTTCTTCATTTCTTTCTGGTTTGAACACAATGCCTTAATAATAGGAAGACATGTTCCAAACCACACGCAATTCATGGAAACCATTATTTTCACTGCGTTGACAAAGGTCTTTGACCAAACCATCTTTAACAAATTTATTTGCCTTTATCTTCATTAGTGTAGATGCAACCGTATCATTCAACAGCACAACAAGTAAGACCAATCCACCTTCCAAAGATGATAGAGTTTGACTATATTCCTAAAACCAATATTTTAAATAGTGTGAAAAACCTTTAACATTTCAAACAATTGTAAATAGATGCGACAATAACTACAATTACTATAAGGGCATGTTAAGAAGATTCTGAATGATTATTCAATAGTAGTCATTGTAATATGGATTGTGGTCGTTTGAATTGTTGTGATTAAAAAAATTGAATTCGATATATTCTGATGTGACCTGAATACAATTCAATTAGACTCGATCATTATGCTTTGTATCACACTATAGTTGCGATTGTGGCAATCACAATTACAATATTACTGTAACATCTCGTGATATGATCAATCGACCATTTGAAACAATAATAGATATAGATGGTATTCATGAACCTTGTGGTTGAATAATATAATTGAAAAGTCAAATGCCCACAAAACAACCAATACCCTATCTAGAATGAATCTACTTTTAATCAAGAAAAGTTCAAACTTAAATGTCAACCATAGAGCCAAATAGATATTTCTTTCACATATACACGGTAGAGACACAATAACAACAACACTATAAATACACATCCCTTAGCTCACAAATTTTGCTCATCAAAAACTTCAATTTCACTTCCAAACCTAACATGATGAATATGGAAAACAAGTTAGTACTAGTAATGACCTTTGTAGTGATGCTTATGATGCTGAACAAAGATGTGAGTGCTCAAAATTGTGGTTGTACAGAAGGATTATGTTGCAGCCAATATGGGTATTGTGGGAATGGTGATGCATATTGTGGGACAGGATGCAAGGGAGGTCCTTGTTATGTAAGTCCAAGTCCACCAAATGATGTTAATGTTGCTGATATTGTTACACAAGAATTCTTCAATAGTATAATTGATGAAGCTGATTCTAGTTGTGAAGGAAAGAATTTTTATTCAAGAGATGCTTTTCTTAATGCCCTTGATTCATATAATGAGTTTGGTAGGACTGGAACCATTGATGATTCAAAGCGTGAAATTGCAGCTGCTTTTGCTCACTTCACACATGAAACTGGACGTAAGTGTCATTCATAATTTTTTATATTTTTAAAGTATATAAGATTTTGAAAGAAAAATAGGAGATAGCTAGTTTAACACTTTATTTTTCTCACATACTAGTTTACATATACTTTATACAAGTTAAATAGTTACTAAATAATTTATTGCTTTGCATATAACAATGGTTATGTGACAATAGATTATAAAATGCTTGAAAAAACATATAATGAAGTAGGTAAATATGTACTCTAAGATTCACCTTAGCTTCTATATAGGTTGCTGTAGTTAATTTCAATTGGTCACTAATGCGATCATTATTGGCTTTGTGGTTATACTAATGTTGTGAAGTCCGAGCCGTATATCAAACTGAAAGAAGTTCCGTATTAACTTTAACCTGTTTAAAGTTTAAACATTTAAACCGTCCGATTGGACCGGATGATTTTAAATACAATTAACAATTTCTTTCAATAAATATATAATTATATATAACTATATTCAAGTAACATCTTTTCATCTTTTTTGGACTAAAGTAAAACAAAACATTAGAGTAATGTTCCATTTTTTAAATTTTAAGTGAACTGTTCGGTTCACTTCCCAGGTTATTTCAGTTTAACCGGGTTTAGCACGGTTGAACCGAAGTTTCTCTGGTTCAAAGCAGTCCAATCACTTATTCCATTAACACTATAAACCAAAGTCGTTTTCAAGGCCGACCAGCGATCAAACCGGTTGGACCGTCCAGTCCGGTTCGGTTATCACAACACTGGGTTATACTACGGCCCTATGCAACTATATAATTGTGATTTAGTGTCACCTTATGGTGTGATATGGTTAGGGTAGCCACTACAAGTGCATCTATGGTCAAAATTAGTTTTATCTTTAGAGGACAAGGTTTCTTTCTTTATAGTAAGTAAATTGTGATTGATTGATTGAAATGAATGGCAAACTTTAAGGTCCAAAATTTATGCTTGCAGATTTTTGCTACATTGAAGAGATTGATGGAGCATCAAAAGATTATTGTGAAGAAAGCAATACACAATACCCATGTGCACCAAACAAAGGATACTATGGTCGTGGACCAATCCAATTATCATGGAACTTCAATTATGGACCAGCTGGAGAAAGCAATGGTTTTGATGGGTTGAACTCTCCTGAAACAGTGGCAAATGATCCTGTTGTGTCTTTCAAAACAGCATTATGGTATTGGATGGATCATGTGCACCCTGTCATTAACCAAGGTTTTGGTGCAACCATTAGAGCCATTAATGGTGCACTTGAATGTGATGGTGGAAACCCTACAACAGTTCAGGCTCGTGTTAATTACTATACACAATATTGTTCCCAATTGGGTGTTGCTACTGGTGATAATCTCACTTGTTAAGCTAGCTATATATGCTACATATATTTGTTGGAATATGTTGTAGGAATAAGATATATGAGTTATTTGTTGGTTATATATGTTGTACCAATAAAAAGACTTGTTGATTATATGTTGTATACCCATAAAATATGAGTTATTTGTTGATTGTATCATTCACATGTACTAATAAAATGAGTTGTTTATTTCTATTTTTATTATAGGTGTAATATTTATGTAATGTCTTTGTAAGGATTTATAATATACAGTCAATATATCATCTATCATTTATTTGTATTATTTCTTTTGAATAGTCAATCATAATTAAAAATGAATGGTGGATGATAAACTGAAAGTATATAAAATCATTATATTATCACTGCATACATTTTTTTTTTCTATTTAATTATTGTGGGCTTATAATAGACACATGTTCTGAATCTCATAAAAATAATTTGTCTAGGGAGAACATTGTATTTATTATTCTAATAGATGTACATTTATTTAAATTTCTTACTAAAACTTGTTTTTTATTTTGTATATTAGTGCTCATTATTAAAAGAGTAAATACTGATTTCAGTATGTTTTTTGACCTTATTAATTTGATCTTTAAATTTTGAAAAACTTAAAATGGTTCTCCAAAATTTCAAATTAATTTTTTAATCATAAAAATATGAAGAAGTGAAATGTATATTTACTTCAGTCACATGAAAAAGAAGGTAATGCATATTGAAATTTATTTCTCCAGTCACATGTCAATTAATAAATGAAGGTTATGCATTACTTAATTTATTATTACTAGCGTGTTGACAGGCCCTAACAGACCTGTCAATCCGTTTTCCTATCGTATAAAACGTGTAGTTTAATTGAAATAAATGTCTAATATTATAATTGTGTTACATATTGTAATTTGCAATTGAATATATAGTAAACACAAAAATTGATATATTTTTTGGGA